CTGACAAATAGAAAAATTGGTTGATAGCCCCACATTCAGACAGCAGTACAGTCCTTGAACGGAATTTTCCCACTCAGGTTTTTTCCCCATTTTTTTCCTTGAACGGAATTTTCCCACTCAGATTTTTTTTCCCACTAGCTTAATTTTTTATTAAGCTAGTGGTGCTTGCTACTTCATAACTAGCAGCTACTCTATTGGACAGGGCAGGTCTGGAATCTAGATTTGGCACCAAAGTGAGTCTTCCATTATTTTACCTTGTATATGTTAACATTTCCATGATATTCTGCAAAGTGCACCATGACTTTTAGGTACTCCACTGTTTAAGTAAATTGTGGAATCATTGCTATGGTGAAAAAAAGTCTCTTACAGTGTTTATGGAGGTCTGTGAATGTATTCTCAGGTTCACAAGTTCTCAACTCTGAGAAGCACTGTTTTAAGAAAAGGAAGCCTTGTTCTGTGAAAATGCCTCAAGTTTGAATTAACACTGCAAAAGAGTTATCTTGTATTTATAATTGGTAAACTAATTCAACATGAGTACAGTGTCAGAGGGATAATTGAAATAATTTTGACAATATTGTTGTCCAATAATGTTGATTGGGTCAGATTGCTGAGCAGTTAGGGGGAACTGAGTGTTCTCAGATTTGAAAAACACTACTCTAAAGACTGCGATTATCTAACGAAAATGAAAAGATAGGGTGGGAGATGGAACGTGTTTCCGAAAGGGGCCCAACTATCCTGCTGTACCCTGATCTTCCTCATATTTGGGCATCACCAGAAGCCCAGCACCCATCTCTGAGGGATTAAGGGGTGCAAGGAGAAGAGGCAGCTTATGTCCCTTTGGTGTCATCCCTTCCTGACTTCAGGAGACAGGCCTCATCCGGCTTCTCCGTCGGGAGATAGCAGCAGTTTTCCGAGACAACCGAATGATAGCTGTCTGTCAGAATGTGGCTCTGAGTGCGGAGGACAAGATTTTTATGCGGCACCAGCTGCGGAAACACAAGATCTTGATGAAGGTCTTCCCTAACCAGGTAGGAAGTGGCCCTACCCATGGGCCCTGCCCATGGTCACCCCCCTTACTCCACCTCCCCGCCCTGCCAACTCAGACCCTGGCATCTCTCCCTAGATAGGGCACTTCTGACTCCTCCCCTGCACCAGCAGCCCTCTAGCCTGGTGCCTAGACTGCGATCAGGGGCTGAAGAGACCCTCGAGTTTCATCCTCAACCTGATGTGGCCTGGGACCAAGATGGGCAGCTCTTCCTCCCACTTGTCCCCGATAAATCCTTCTTTCCCATTGCTCCAGGTCCTGAAGCCGTTCCTAGAGGATTCCAAGTACCAAAACCTGCTTCCCCTTTTTGTGGGGCACAACCTGCTGCTGGTCAGTGAAGAGCCCAAGGTCAAGGAGATGATGCGAATCTTGAAGGGTATGCCTTTCCTGCCACTGCTAGGTGAGCAAACCCCGCTGCCAGTTGGGGATGGGGTGAAGGGGAGCAGGTGCTACAGAAGCGTAGTGCCATCTGCTAGGCATGAGTGGGTGAAACCGTGGACATCCTTGGAGGGAACATCCTCTCACAGGTGGGATCTACCTCAACAGCACCGTTTGTTGAGGGCTGCCTGTGTCATTCTAACACCTGTGTTGGCTCTGTGTTACTTCTGCACTGGGGGAAGATTATGGAAGGCAAAGAGGACTCTACCGGGAAAGGAAGTTTACACACTTTGAATCTAGCAATGAGGTAGAAGATGCTGAAACCCATACAGACAGAGATACTTAACTAGCCCAAGTGAAGGGTGCTGAGCTAAGGGGCAGTGGGCATTGTTTTCCAGACTCTCCTGATGCTAAGAATCCCTGGAGGTGCTGCTTCTCCATAGAATTCTGATTTCATAGGACCCTGTGGAAGCGGGGAACGGGACGGGAATCTGTTTACAATCTACCACACTCACATACAAACACATACTCCATGGTTCTTCAAGAAAGTTTAGGAAGCTGACTTAGTGGGGGTTAGGCCAGGTGGATGATGTATGTAAGGGGAGGGGATCAGTCCCAGATAGAGAGGGCGTGGGATGGGGCATAAGTGGGAACCGGATGGGGGAAGACTGGGAGGTAAAGGGCAATGGAGAGCAGTTCCGAGGGTTGGAATGTTGTTTTCAGAGAAGAAAGGCATTTGTAGGGAGCCCGGCTGACCCTGTGTTCTTTCAGGTGGCTGCATTGATAACGTCATCCTCAGCAGGCAGGGCTTCATCAACTACTCCAAACTTCCCAGCCTGGCCCTGGTGCAGGGGGAGCTGGTAGGAGGACTCACCTTCCTCATGGCCCAGACCCAATCCCTGCTCCAGTACCAGCCCCTCCACCTGACCGCCCTGTTGGATCAGTACGTTAGACAACAACACGAGGGGGACTCCGTCGTGTCAGCCAGTGGGCAGCCCAATTCTCCAGACCCTGTTCCAGACTCATAGCCAGCCCGTTGTACCCAGCCTGCCCATAAATACACCCTGCCCCATTGGTTATGCTGGTACGCTGTCCTTCCGGAGATGTGGAAGAACTCGGGGTGGGGAGTGACGTATGTTCCCTGGCTTCTGCTGACAATGACCTCCTCAGATACAGGGCCACTTGGAGATGAAGAAGGAGTCCATTTCAGAATGAAGGCTTTTAATCGTCGTCTTTCGTCCTTAGTATTTCCAGCTCGGGACCTGACAAGAGCAAAATCTCAGCTCTCCACGTTCATGGCAGGGAAGCTGAACAGATGAGGACATTGTCTTCTTTTGTGCTCATGTTTTTTGCACATGTCTTCCTCAGCCTGTCCCCTCGTATATCAGAATAGCTCACCTGACTAATTGTGCTAAGAACGGCTTCTACTATTGAGAGCCTGCTGTGCCAGGCTGCGTGCTGACCGCCGTCCATGTATTAGTTCTTTCATTTCTCACCATATTAGCCCCATTTCACAGAGAAGAAAACTAAGGGGCAGAGAAGTTAAAGAGCTTTTCAAGGTCAGAAAGTTGGTAAATGGCCAAACAGGACTTAGATCAGGCTCTCTGCTCTGAAGACCATGCCCTGGATTTTTACACTAGGGTCCCAGGTGTGCTTGGCTGTTAATTTTCCCTCGGAGTGTGCCATGTTGTAGAAAGTTTGGGAACATTGCTTTATGATAAAAAGATACGCATTTTACTTTAGTCTGTTTTGCTTTTTATAAGCTTATCCTCCCTATAGACTTATTCTCAGGGTCATCTCAGACTCTCCTTCCTAAAAAATTCTCTTTACCATGTCTGAGCCTTTTACCTCCCTGTCCCTGCTCTCACAAATGGCATCTCTTACATACTTGGCCTTTTGAGGACAGCTGCCAACTCTCCCTGTAGCTAACATGTCTCAAGTGGTTCTGAGCAAAGATGCTGGCGGGGGAACCAGGATTAATGAAGGGATCTGAGGGTTCTCAAGTGGAAGGCCTCGTCCAAGTCTTGGGGAACAAAAGTTCCTAATGAAAGAGTATGTTTAGCAGCCCACGCTTGTCCCTGGAGCATGCCCTAGATGGATTCAGGGGTGATGGGGGCGAGTGCCTGTTGAGCATTCCTTCTTGACTTGGAGCAATGCCATAGCTTCTTCAGTCTCGGACAGGCACCGCTGTGGCAGTAGTGATCAGCAGCTCTTCTATGGCCCGGTCCAGGACCAACTGCCCACCGCACCCAGCTCTGTGCCAGATGCCCAGAGATGCTCAATGTGAAGTGAATGAGGAGGCACTTGAGGATCCCAGACACCAGAGTCAGTCTGGCCACTGCTGCCCAGTACTCTTCCTGATTCTCAGAGCCACACGATGCTAACCACCCTCCTGGAGTGGCCAGAGCAGTGCTGAGGTTTTGAATGGCACAGAGTAGGCATATCCTGAGAGATGTGTAAGACCCTGAAAGGTCAATCAAGGCCATGTGGGGACAAGATGGGTGGGGGGAGTGGCCTACATCATTTCTGAATCAAAGAAGAACCCTATATAGCATCCTTCACCTGCTGATCGTGCCTGGGGCCCCACCACTAAAATTCTACTTTCCAGAAAGTGGCTTCACTGCACTTAAAGGTATCAGTTTCACATTCATTTGAATGACTTTTAGACCTTTCTCAAGAGCTGATTTTTCGTTAGAATTGAGCAGCCGAACACAGAACTCCAGTAGAAGGGCAGAGGTTCTGAGAAAGGGAGGGTACCCGAGTTGACTCCAGCTAGCCCTTTAACAGCCGGCTGGTTCCCGCCCCAGATGCACTCCTGGTGCAGACTCCAGGCTGGGGGTTTTGTCTTACCACAGAGGTACTTCCAGTCCCCCCCACCCAATGGGATCTGACCAGTGACAGCCTCTAGGGGGCCACCGGCTGACCCTTTTGAGCATCGACTGCCCTGCTGACCATGCTCTTGGCACTGTCTAATGTCCCAAAGGGGCATCCATATCCTCCCTTCAACCTGATACTTTGCTGGCTCCAAATTTTGCAATCTATTTTCAGATGTAAAACGAGAGGCGGGAGTTAATAAGGAAATGGCCTTGGGTACTGACTGGGATCAAGGCCACACTAGTCTGAGTAAACCCTTTACCGCCATTGGCTTGAAGCCAGCAGCTCCCCCGTCCTCTGTAATCCCTTTGGAACTGTGCCCAGTGGGGACTCTGCACCCATTCCCAAGCTTCCTCGGTGCTGGGGAGTCACTCGGCCCTGAGTCCTCCGGGGAGCAGGGGGGCAGAGCTGAGCGGCTGCCCGGAGCTGGGCGGGAGGAGGGACGGGGAGGGGAAGGTGGGGAGATCCGGCTAGAGGGGAGGCTCCGCCGTCTCCTTCCTTCCTGGTTCCTGCAGCAGCTGCTGCCACTGCTCAGCCCGGTGAGCAGGGAGCGGGCGACTCGAGACGGTGACTCAGAGGTGGAGCAGTGTGCAGGCCAAGGAGCACTGGCGTCCATGGACTCGGGGGTAAGGGGGCCACGCTGGCATCAACTGACATTCCCCGTGAGGGCTTTCTCACACCTGAAGCTGGCAGGTCTGCTTCTCCGGAGACGGGGGTGGGAATGGAGGTGGAGAGGGGACACCCCCCTGGCTCACCTCAATCCAGTACCCTCTAGTAACAGAGCCTCCCCCTCCACCTACGAGCAGCAAGAGGCCAGGATCCACAGGGCCAGGAAAAGGGCACAGGAATACCCAAACACAAGGAGAGTTTGGGAACTTTCAATGGCTGAATGCAGGAGTTTCACCCCCTGGGTCAGCTTCTGGCAGCAAGGGCCCCTCTGCCATGGCCTCCCAGTCACCTCTGCCCCACCAAGTCCCTGTTCCCTCTGGCCTCAATTCCTCAGGTGCTTAAAAGCTCCTAGAAGATCTGAGCTATTTCCCCAGCCTCAGGCCAACCTCGCCCCTCTAGTCCCCTCCCCTGCCTCACATGCACAGAGCCTCATGCATTATTGATGTCCCTGTGGAGCCAGGATGGCCAGGGCTGGTGCCACGGGCCCCTGTGGGCACTGCTGCGGGTCGTGTGTGGACCCCTGCCTGTTCTTAGCTGCCTCTTCTCTCCTGCCTCAGTGTCTCCATTGGCCTAGTCCCCTGCTCTCTCCGGGTGGGTGGTACTTCTCAAGAGCCCCAAAGACTGGGATGGTAGAAAGGGGATGTGAGGCTTGTGTTTGATGAGAGGAGGCGCAGGGGAAAAGGGGGCTTTCTCAGGCCTCAGTTTCTCTGTGCAGAAAACTAGCCCGAGAACTAGAGGATATGGGGACCAGTTGGTGGGGAGTTGAGATGAAGGGGTTAGGGGGTCGGGGTGTCATGGCAGAGCAGTCTCCAAGCCATGGTGGTATGGGTGCAGAGTTCTTGAAGGAAGAGGAGCTGGGTTGAGATCTTGCTTGTCTAGTCTCTGAATTCCTCTGGCCTGTTTGAGAGCCTCTTTCTTCATTCCCCTGCCTCACCTCTGATCACCCCCAGGGAATCTTCCAGAGAAAGCACTGAGTGTTTCCTGGAGCCCAAGAATGTGCACCAGGGTGGGGCTGGGCAGACTTTTCGTGATTTTCTCTCTGCTGGACTGGCCTACCTCTCAGTGAACTAGCCTGAAGTGGCTGTAGTGAAAGAGGGTGTAGGCCGGGACACCCACCCAAGTTGGGATAGGGACGGACTCAGGAGAGGCGGGACAGGTGAGCAGATGTGTTGGTGAGCTCTTGCCTCAGGATGCAGGAGAGGTTAGAGGTAGAGGTGATAGCAGGTCTGTGCTAATGGAGTTTTTCTCTTGTTTCAAGGGCCCCCTCAGGACAAGGTGACATCCTTCCCCTTCCACCCTGTTCTTCATCCTCAGCAGGGAGTGGCCACTCCCTTCTCCATGGACTTCCAAGAGAGGGGTCCTCCCTCGCTGGCAGAGAGCACTCAGTCTACAAAGCCCAGCAGTGCCCAGCAGGTCTGAGGGCCGGAAGCAGGCATTGGGTTGGGACTCACTTGGCTCTCACCAGCCACTCCCCCACTCTGTCCTGGACTGCAGGCTTCTGAGCTGTGGGAGGTAGTGGGGTCTCACCAGCCACTCCCCCACTCTGTCCTGGACTGCAGGCTTCTGAGCTGTGGGAGGTAGTGGAAGAGCCTCGGGGCCAACGGGGTGCAGAGGATATCATGCCTGAGAGGCAGGAAGGCCACCTGCTCAAGAAGAGGAAGTGGCCTCTGAAGGGCTGGCACAAGGTAGGGTGGGCAGGGCAAAGGGCAGGGCCAGATGTGCGGAGGGTTGGGGAAGTTTGGGTAGCTGCTGGGCAGTGCTGGGTGTGGGCGTGTCAAGAAGAAAGGTCCATGTATGCGGTTGCTCTCTCCCCACACCTTTTTCTCTTGGCTACCTGGGTCCTGTTTCTCCCGGGCATCGTTACAGAGGTACTTTGTGCTCGAGGATGGGATCCTTCGCTACGCAAACACTCGGCAAGATGTGAGTCAGGGGCTGGCCAGGGTGGCGGGAGGAGTCTGGCTCCAGAATGCCCTGGGCAGGCAGGGAGCTTCTGGAATCCCCCAGAGCAGGGCCTGAATCTCAGGTACACCATTCCTGGGTGTGGGGTCTTGAACAAGTGTCTTCCCTAAGTTTTAGCCCCCTCATCTCTAAGATGGGGAGAGTGCCATCACCCATTTGTAGCGTCCCTGTCATCTTGGTAAGGGCCCTCAAGACTATGCCTGGCACAAAAGTACCCAAGACAGGGGAGCTTTATCATCCTTGTCCTTGTTTCATTCTCATGCCGGGAATAAAAAACCGAAAGCCTGGCCGCCGAGGCTCTCTCTTCCTTGGCCTTGAGGACTCCCGAGGGTGGGACAGTTTTTCCTGTCCTGTGACTCCTTCAAGCTCAGAATGTGACTTCTGAGTTCTCCTCACAACAGCATGACTGACAAGTCCCTGCTGATACTGTGACTTGGGCATGAGGGTGGACCTACTGCCTGGCCCTTGAACCTAGAGTGGCCTTAGGAAGATGGTGGCTCTGTGGTCCAGGGGTCTAAAGCCAGCCCCTTTTCCCCCACCATCAATCCACTCCAGATCACCAAGGGGAAGCTCCATGGCTCCATTGATGTCCGATTATCCGTCATGTCCATCAACAAAAAGGCCCAGCGCATTGACCTTGACACCGAAGACAACATCTACCATCTCAAGGTGACATCCTTGGGAGCCAAGTGGTGGATTGGCCCCCAGCCTGGCAGAGGCACTGAGGCACACAGAGAGGGGGACAGGGGCTTGAGGGTCTGTCTGTCCACGCGTTTGACAAGTGGGAGTTACTATCGTGTCCAGTAGCCAATGGCAAACCACCCCTGTCTGTTGTTATGTGAACAGGCACAGAGCTAAGGGCTCAGACACTTGGCGAAGCTGTGCTGTGCCTCCCTGCATGGGGCCTCTGCACAAGCTGGGCACTAAACGGGGAGAGCCTGCTTGCCTGGGGACCAGGGCCCTGACTTCTTCCTCTTGGAAAGCAGTCCTCCTTCCATGTATCCCTCTCCCTTGCCATCACTTCTACAGATCAAATCCCAGGACCTGTTCCAGAGTTGGGTGACCCAACTGCGTGCCCACCGCCTGGCCCAGCGCCTGGATGTGCCCCGCGGTCCGCTGTCCGGCACCACTCACCGGAAGGTTAGATGGGCCCTGGGGCGGGAGATGTGGGGATTCAGGGGACTGTGAGACCCAGGGAGGTGGGCACCATCCTTCCTGACCCTTGACTCACCCCACAGGT